AAAAAAATGTCGCTCGTAATTTAAATAAATCTCGACATTGCTATTATCTTTTTGTTTCTTTGCACAAACTTGAGCAATTAGCTATCTAAACCTCCATTATACATATCGTGTTAGACCTCCTATATACACCTTAGCAGATTACCAAGTCAAATAGTACAAAACTCAAAGTCAACTATTAAGTTAAATGAGTTTAAGTTAGGAAGGCGGGCTGAATCTGGTACAAAGTGAAAACAGTCCTTATTAGGGTGTTATACGATTGAAAAAATCAACATATTATACTCCACAACCGATTTCGGTCATTCAACAAAACATTCACCACATTATGATAACTTGATTATGATCACAATCTCAACTCTAAACAAAAGTAAGAGGTTGTTTGTTGCACGACGCAAAACATACACAACATTTTCTCTCTTGCAGCAGTATGTTTTATTGAAGCCTCCAGACTACAAAACCTATACGTGTGTTCTGTACGGCGCAACACTTGACTTATCTCTTCAAACCTCTTAAACTTTTATTTTTTTCCAAGTGATTTTTTTCGAAATTTGCTATAACTTGATTTTTTTAACCTTTCATCTTTTTTTTTTTTTTTTTTTTTAAATTTGATTTTTTAAAAACTTGGATTTATGGATTTGATACAATTTCTTTTTATAGTTTTCACAATTTTTCATAACTTGATTTAAAAAAAAAACTTTGATTTTTCGAACATAGGTTACTTATTAGCCTAAGTAATCTAAAAGAAAGTCGTAGTAATCATAAAAACGAACTCATGCATATAAAGGATGTCCAAATTTGACTTCATATGAGAAAATTATGATTTTTTGAAGTTTCAGTATAGGAGTGTGTGACACAAAAACCGAATTTTTGAATGATCGATTGTTAGGAAAAACAATCTAGATGAGAATCAAAGATCTCGTGAATAGGAATCCGTCGGTATAAAAACAGTCGAGAATGGATGTCGTAAAGAATTTTGATTTTTATACGAATTTTAACAGTCTAACCATGTTAAAAATATAACTTTAAAAATAAAAAGAGAATTAGCTGACGGGGGCTAAATGAAAATTATAGTACTTGTCAATAGCTATGAGTGGATATAAAAAACTTTGAAAACGGAGTTTGTATGAGAAATATATGATTTAAAAAATAATAATTAAATCTCGAAGCACATGGTGCGCGGCGTTTCTAGAAGGTGGGACGTGAACCATTGGAATTGCGACACGTGGCACAATTTGGTAGGATTTGCATACCCGAAAAGCGCACGACACCTCATTTGCTCGCACCACAATTCCCATTCTCTCTGGATTTTAAGTTCTGAAATTTCTTAGTAATTAGTGTATTTTGGCTTGGCTTTGAGGTCTGTGAGAGCCAGACAGATAGAAGTTATCGGTCTGTAGTTCTGCTAGTGTAATTTCCGACTTTTCGCTAGAAAATCTCTATAAGTTAAGTTGCACTTATCTTAATTCAAGTGTAACTTATATTTATATTAATAGTCATTATTATGAATCTATAGATAAGGTTTATCGGTGATTCCAAGTCAAAATACTGATTGATCTACTTACAGGGATGATATCTAGGCTAGATTTTATGAGGTGTCTAAAGTAGGATTTCCAAACAGTATATTTTGTATACGAAATGTACCCTACTTATGATATGATCTTACCTAGTTGTTCCTTATCAGCTATAGATCAGTAGACATTGTAATCATTCAGGAATCTAGAACATCATTAGTCATAAGAATATAAGACTAAGACTTAGTGATATTCTTACCTAGGTCATATCAAAGGAAAAACTAAAGTGCTAGGTGAAGCGCTGCCCAAATTTTGAGTCATCCACTTTTAGCAAGTGAGTACGTAGTTATTTTAAGCTTACACATAAATATCAAGTATTTAATATGGTTAGATGTCCTATGTGCTTATTATATATGCTCTTGATATATGTGCTAAATGAGATAATGATTTTTACATGCAATAAATAATATATGTATTCTTATCATACTTATACTGTATTGGGTAAAAAGGGTAGAGAGAGATGAGAAAATAATGAGAGACCATGTCAGAGATAAAATAGTGGTGAGAGATCATACAAGAGATAATATAATGGTGAGAGACCATGCAAGAGATAAAATAAAAGGGAGAGACCATGCCCAACTTAGTGTAGTCATCTAACAGAATATTGATGATGACCACAGACTCTTCTTGACAACCTTGTGGAATACTAGCAAACTCATAATTTGTAGCATTATGGACATGTATTGCTAAGGAATCCCCGGAAGTATTGTATACCCATTGTTATAGAGATCATTTAGGATATGTCTCTTGAGATTATCATTTTAGGATCGAAGAGTGAGAATAACAGGAGTAGGTAATCAAGATTAGTCTGTTGGTGTGATATATATATATATATATATATACACACACACACACACACACACACACACTTAAAACAATATAATAATAATAATATTGTGGGTTGAAAACCCTATTTGCTCATCAGGCTCCTAAGCCTGACCTACTTAGTTTATTTATATCACAGGTAGTGGTACAAAGGTACATAGATAGTGATGTGTGGATATGATGAGAGATTCGAGGATGTGTAGGCCTTAGTATAATAATATGTTGTAAGGCCTGTAATGACTATATTTATGCTTATGTTACTTGTATCAGTTATAACATCCCATGTTTTTAATAATCAATGAAAAACATTTATTGAGAAATACTTTTATGAGGAAAATATTGAAATATAAAAAATACTCTGTTTTAAAATAAGCATAAAGAAAATGACTTTTCAGACAATAAAAATGGGGACGTTACAGTGTGAGACACTAGCTCTGATACCATAGCTTTGATACCATGTACGATATATGTGAACTCCAAGATTGTCTCTCTAAAAGAGTCGTTACATAGAGGGGAGGCTCCAAGTTATATACACTAGCATTTTGTGGTGTGGTGGTCGTTGGTGGCATAACGTCATGATGTAGTGGTCACTGGTGGTTGTGTTGGAGTAGATGTGAATCGGAGAAGACAAAGTTAAGATTGTGAGAGAATGTAATCGGTAAGGTAAAGGTTAAGAAGAAGTGGGATGGGTGAGGAAGTGGGTGTAAGGTTGTTTGTTTGGATGAATCAATTCGATTCGTCAAGTGACTCCAAATTGATATCGATTATCTAAATAGTGATCTTCATAGTCTCTGAATTAAATTAAAATCTGATCCGAACCAACCAAATTACAATTATGTTGGATTAGTGTTCACAATTCGGTTTTCAAGAGATACGACATAGAAGCGGAAATGGTTACTCGTTTGTGAATTATAATTTATATTAATTATGAATTTTGATGGGCATGTCTTCTGACAGAAATAATAGAAAAATGTTAATAATTTAATATAAAGTTAAAGAAACACATTAAAACTATATAAGTATATAAATTAATAATTTTTATTTTGTTTGTTTAGACTCTTCACAATTTAATAATCAAAGAATCCAAAATGCAAAATAATAGTTCGGTGCTTGTTAAAACCAATAAAAAATCTGAACTATATAGTCCAATCCAAATTTAGACAATTGGACAATACGATTTTACTTAAAATAGTGAACATCCCTAAGTAGGGATAGGGTATTTATCAATTTATAAATTAACAAATACTATGAGAGGTATAATAGTTTTTTCAAATTTGACGGGCAAAAGATCCGATCTACAATTTTAAATTTTTTTCAAATTTATCAGGCAAAAGACCCAATCTACAATTTTAATTTTTTTTTCAAATTTGACTGGCAAAAGGACCGAATCTACTATTTTAAAATTTTAAAAGTCACTATACCGACAGAAATTAGCAAACCACCGGAACAAAATTTGCAATTTACTCTAAACTTTTTAAATAAAACTTGTTTCATATGATATCCAAGAGTTTAGTCATTGTAATCATTGGTATCCAAGTGAGCTTCATAAACCAAAAGATTTCTAGTTCAGCGGTATCAGATATTGTCATTCCTTAGGAGTAATTAGAATTTTTCGAAAAAAAAAAGTAAGCTTCATAAATAAAAATTTCTTTTGCTTTTTCTAAAATAATTACTATATTGTTATTTCGTTGAGATTTTGATCTATTTTTTGTTGATTAATAGCTAATATAAAACATTTGATATCATCAATTTGGGTTAAAAAAACCTTTCATTATTTTGTCACAATGAAGTGATTTATAGATATTTAATCAAACAGTTCAAAATGTAAAGTATCTGAGAAGTCCCTGTTGCTAGTTATTTTGAAAATCTTGTCACCTGGATACATGTTTAACTTGTTTGATGTTGTATACAACAACTGCTGCTAAATTTGAAGATATTGGAACTTCGCTATTTGAGTAAACTAATCACGACACCAGATTTTGATGGACTTCCAAATGTTGAAAGATTCACTGTTTATGAATGTGAGTGTTTAGAAGAGATTCATCCATCGATTGGACGGTTGGAAAGGCTTGTTTTCTTATCTATAAAGTTTTGTTCCAAATTTAAGAGATTTCCACCCATTAGTCGAGTAAAGAAACTTGAGACCCTTCATTCTCATGTTACCCCAAACTTTTTAGTGTCGTAGACAACATACCACATGCTCATTTGGATAATAGTGGGAAAGAAGTTGCATCCTATCAATCTTGTACAGGATTTTTTATTACTTGTTGGACGTGTGGTTGCAGTAATCTTCTTGGTGTAGAATGTTGTTTACCTCACAACAACAAGAACCGCATAGGCATAGGATTACGGTTCTTTCACGGTTTGCAAGAACTCAGCTTAAGAAAGTTGAATCTCAGCAACTGCCAGTTGGGAGATAAAGACAGACTCTGGTGTTTGGGAGCTACCCAATTTGCAAGAACTCAATCTAGCATCAAATAAATTTTCACGATTAAGCTTTAGTCGGGTGCGACTTCCTCACCTAAAATGGATCAATTAATGTGACAAACTGCTATTTTCTAGTAGAGTTGTCAGAGCTACCATCAAGTATAGCTGTCATTAATGCCGATGGTTGTATCTCACTTGAAAGCTTTGGAGATGTTTCAAACTGTAAATGGTTGTGGAAGGTCTCGCTTCATGGGAGTTACAAAGTACATCCACTCTATGGTTACAAATTATTAGACTCCATGCTCCAGGTTTGGCTATAGGTACCTTTTAATTTTTTATCTTTATCTTATAAACCAAAACATATGAAGAATAACCGCAAGTCTTCTCCATGCATGGTAGGGAAATGCTATCGAATATCATTTTATCAGTGTCGGTCTTCAACCTCAGATTCGAAAGAATTTTGTAGGTAGGTTCTTTAGGGGGAACACGTTTACAATACGTTGTCCACATCTCAAGGTGGACTCAAATTCAGTGCGTATTCGACATGATAGAGATTACACTTTTACACTGCGTCTTCCAGAAGATTGGTACAATGACTTTTCTGGGTTCTTAATACGCGTTGTTACCAACGACATAAGTCTGGATATTGATATAGTCATCAAGCATGAGCCACATGAAGAAGATTCTCGATTTGAGCTTTGGCAGGAGTCTCATCAAGCACCAAAGCCCGAATATAATGGGAAAGGAAAGACACATATGGGATATAATCCTTTTGGTTCATTGAGGCACACCACATCAATGAATTAATCACACAACATTAATGCATTTTCCATAAAGAGCAATTGGACTTCTTTTGCAGCTCAGCTTGTTCTTCGGAAAAGTAAAGATGATACGCATCAAACAACAAAAGGCACAACAAATTCCTCACAGGTTTGGGATAAGGAAGATCATAATAGAAAGACATTTGAGATCCAACAAGATTCAAAGTCTTCTATCAAGATTCTATGGCAAGCTTAGGAAAACAAAATCTAAGAAACCCATACCCGTAGATCTCTTGATTCTTTGCTAGTTTGTATAGTCCATGCTCTGACCTTGTGATTGTGATTACAGTGCATCACACATTCGAGAAACAAATTGCCAAGGGAGGTGAACAGATGACCTGAAGATGATTGCATATGGATCAAATAATAAGATATGAACCTGATTTCGCCCGTTTTTGGATGTAAGCGGGTGTTGTATGCTCTAAAAGCATCTCCACTGGTAGTCTTTTTAAAAGTTTTTTATTATTTTAAAAGCTTAACTTTTACTGTTAGAGTTGTAAACTTTGTTAATAGGTTACTCTAAACACTTAGTATTCTATAGCATTTTAATCATTTTATTTCTTTTGTCTGGTTTGGTCCTCAAATGTAACAAATTTTTATTTTATATTTTAGTTATATTTAGATATTAAATCTTTATTAAGTTTTTAGAAATAGAATCAGGTAAGGATTTTTTTTTTCAGTGAAAGCTCGTGACGACACCTTAAAAAAGCTGAAAAAAAAAATAAAAATAAAATACAAATCATAAATCGAGCATAATACTATATCGGAGAGAAAAAAAAAAGTTGGAAATTTTTTTGGGCCAATAAAATTGAAGCATGGATCATTTTTATAATTCATGATTCAATTTTAATGATCCAGATTTTTTTTTGTTCAATTTTTTTCTCTCCGATATAGTACTATGCTCGATTTTATAATTAATATTTTTTAAGGTGTCCTCACGAGTACTCACTGAAAAAAGAATCATCACCGGAACCGGACCCTAAGTATTTAATTAGTTAATCTATATATATATATATATATATATATATATATATATATATATATATATATATATATATATATATATATATATATATAATATGAAATGAAAGTATTTTACAATAAATATATAATTTAAATGTAGTTGTCAAAACTTCAATATTAACAAAGAAAAAACTACAGAACCAGACTCTGTGGTTTGCCGATTACTTTAGGTAAGGTTAAAAAAAGTTTATTAACAAAAAATGTTTATATTTTGTGGTTTTGTTGTGGTTTTGATCACTATCTCATCTGAATAACTTGGTTGCTAACTTTTTGAAAATAACAGTTTTACTCTTATGGATCATTTCTGCAGTTGTATCTTTTTACCAAACTATAAAGACCATTTATGTAACATCCCGACTCGACAAGTAGAGATGGATTGGTCACGTGGGTTTAATGACCGACTCGACAAGTTAGAGAACCGACTCGCCGAGTTGGCGTTGTGTGAGGAGCTAATCTTATGGTTATTAGTGCATTTTTGAAGGAGAAGAGGAGAGTACCAAAGCTTGGATCAAGAGGAGGCTTTGGATCTAGAGGCTCAACGGAGTTTTGCTTCAGTTAGAGGTAAAAAGATGCTAACATGATCATTTCCTTATGAGATCTTGGTTTAGGGAGTTTCTAGGGTTTCTCCCATCCCTTTGGTTTCATTTGAGTCCTTTGAGCATGATTCGAGATTGAAACCTCAAATTTGGAGTGTAGGAGGTCTTGTAAGTCCAAAGACCCGAACTTTATTGAGCTAGAAATAAGATCTTGTGAATCTAACCCTTGTTGTAACACCCGTAAATTCATGCCAAATTTAAACTTTTAAAATTGTTTCAAATTCATTAGTTCATTACAAAAGTGTTTTCAAAATGTATCATATCAGAGTTTTCCCAGAACCATAAACCAAATAGGAGGAGTTGTACGATCATGCCTTCGCCTTGCCACGATCCCATGATGTACCTGAAACAACAAATTGAAACTATAAGCCTGAAAGCTTAGTGAGTTCCCCAAAATACCGATACACATACAGTCCGCATAACTATAACAACAATCTGGTATCATAACAAAACAAAATAGAACAACATGAACCGGGTCCACATCTTTATAAACCGGATTACCCCTGGGCCCATAGTGTGAGTCTGGATTGCCTTCCTGGCCCACAGCTCACATCTGGCTTGCCACCGAGCCCACAGTACGAGTCTCCCTCAGCTTGTATCTGGAATGCTCCACTGATTGGATTACCCCTGGGCCCACAGTGTGAGTCTGGATTGCCTTACAGGCCCACAGCTCACATCTGAATTACCATCGAGCCCACAGTACGAGTCTCCCTTAGCCCGTATCTAGAATGCTCCCTGGTTTGTTGGCTACTGCACGGAGCAACATCACCTCAACCCATCCCACATAAAATATCAATATATAACACAACTACTGAGCATGCAGATAATCATATAACAATATATGCAGTCCTACAAATCTACCTAATTAGCATAACCACTAGCATGCAACACTAACTTATACTCAACATCCAACATTGCTAGGATAATATATACAATGGGATGGCCTTGGTGCCTTAGACCCCTTAGTATAGTGAGGTAAATCACCTTGCAAGTAGTGCTGAAGTACTGAAAATCTCTGACTACTAACTCACCGGGAATCCCAAACTATTACAAAATAAATACTAGGTTAATACTCAAGATAACCTTCTTGACTAAGTTTCCACCTAGCTTATTAAGTCCATTCCCTTTGTTGGGCCATATCCCAACACCAAGTCCTTGACTTGAAAGTCCATACACATAAGTCCACTATTGGCCAAATTTACTCAATTGGGCCCAACCTCCTTAATGGGCCTAACCTATGATCCACTAACACAACTTGGCCCAAATATTTCATTTATAGAGTCCAAAAAAAGGCCGAAGTCCATTTAGTCCATAATCAGCCCAAAACCCATTTGTCAAAAGCCCAACAAAGGACGTACGCGGGGCGTACTCCTCTGGGTGCGCGGGGTGTACTCATCCAAATCGTTGACCACCATCGGGGTGGTTGACCCAGTACGCTGGGAATACTGGATTTATGTTGGGCGTATTGGATAGTTTTGGCAAATCCATATTAAGTGCTTAATAGCTTAAGCACTTAAGCATTAATAGCTTAAGCACTTAAGCCCATACTTCAGATCCAGAGGCCTAACATGCCTAGAATCCATATAGTCGTGAACTTTATCCCTTTAGACGTCCATAAAGCCCTAAATGCTTGGTCTTAATCCATTAAGACCTTATCCTTGCATGCATAGGACACATTCAGCTAATGGGACCTCATTTTTATCACTCAAGGTCCTTTCAAGAGTCCAAAAGGACATTCTTTTACGTCCAAAACACAACATGCACCACCTAGTGGATTTTTGGATAAGAAATGGGTCTTGTAAAGTAAATGGAGAGATCTAAACATATAAACATAAAGTTTGGAACTTTATACCTTCTAGAGTTTCTTGTGCACGAAATAACCTCATATCTACAAGCTTTGTCACTTCCTTCAACTCTTTGATGCAGTGGTTTCCTCTTAAACACTCAAGAACACACCAAATGAGCTAAAACACACAAAGGGGAGGCTAAGGTTTTAGAGATACGGGTTTGATTTGTGGAGGTTGAGGTAAAAGGGGTGTGGGTGCACATTATGCTGCTTATATACGACCCAAACCCTAATTATTAAGGTTTTCACTCCTAATGCTAGTACACCCAGCATACACAAGTGCTTGCCAAGCGTACTAAGGCGGATCCTTATACGCTTAGCGTACTCCAATGCACGTGCAACGTATACCCCCTTTTGGTCAAATTTCCAAATTTGGCCCTTATACTTGTCTTGGCTCTACATTCTAAGTCCCCAAGGGCTATAATTGACAAAGTAAAGATAGAAGAGGCTTCGGAAATACATGAAAAATCTCGGGGTGTGTTACACTTGTTGGGGCTTGAATTGGCATTATGGAGAAAATATGTCATGCATGAACGTAAAGATCGAAGCTTTACGTTATAATCGAGCCTTAGGAAGTCATATTTGGAGTATGGGGGCATGGTTTCTGCCTTAAAACGTCTGAATGAGAATTTGACTTAAGGGACTCGATGAGTCAATTAGGGTTTTCCCCGATGAGTCTGGACATGGGTAACTGGGCAAGTTGACGAGACAACTCGATGAGTTAAGTTGGGTTTTCGTGATGTTTTGAAGGAACAAGGGGGACTCAGTGAGTCACATAGATGCACTCGGCGAGTCAGGTCAACACGGACAGTTGACTCGAGTGTTGACTTATGTGGGCTTTAGGGTTTGGTCAAGGTAGGGGTTATGGGGGACTATGGAGGGGTAAAATGGTCTTTTACCCATTCCAAGAGTTTGAGAGAGAGAGAGAGAGAATAACTTAGTTATTTAGATTCGTGACTTAAATGTTAATTAGACATAATTATTGTATGTGATTAAGCGGAGGCTAGTTTAAGATTCGTGTATGAGATTATTTACTTGCTTGCTTACGAGGTGAGTCTTATCACTATACTTTACCTAGAGTGGTAATCTTTGTGTGATCGGAGGGTTTTACGTGTTATATTGAGCATTGTGATATCCTACATTATGTCTTCATAATTTGTGTTGTGTGTTATTCTAAGCTTACCGAGTTAGGACTGAAGGGTTTACCCGAGTTGTGGGACCGGAGGGTACAACTGAGAAACATTGACCAAATGGTCTTATTTGAGTATAGCCATGAGAGGCTAATGAGATATGTGTGGTATTTTGGGGCACTCATTAAGCTTCATGCTTATTGTGTTATGTGTTATGTGTTTCAGGTACCTCTCAGGATCATAGGAAGGCACCAGCTTGATTGTACACACCAATTCAAGATTTTGTGGATGATTATGGGATAGTAACATTTTATGTGGTTTTGTGTTGACAGTAGAGACAATTATGTTTTTGAGATATATTATGAGTTTTTATGTGTTTTAAAAACGAAAAATTTGATCTGAAAATTTACGTTGTTACAAGTTGGTATCAGAGCCTTGGTTTAAGGGATTCGGGTGTACCATCGGGTATGTCTGAAGTCAAACTGAGCATTTGAGAAAAAATTTCAAAAGAAATTATTTTTCTAAAATGAGAAAGAGTTTTAAGAGAAAATGAGTTGGAGCAGTGTGTACAAACAGCCAGAGCCCGAACGCTGATTTCCCA